AAAACAGCAACATTTTTAATGAAAAAAGTTTAGATGTGAGTTGGAATACAATTAAGTGGATATTCTGTTTTAGATTTTGTCTTTTAGTTGGCCAATATGAAGAAAAGACAAACAGACAATGAATAGTCGTGGTAGAATTTAGATTTGAAATGAAGTATTGTCAAAAAAGCTAAAACAAAAACAAGAATGTCAAGGAAAATCTGGCATTTAAAGGGAAAACTGAGCACCGTGGGGTGATAGCGTTATAAAACTATATATCAGAACTAGAACTGAACTAGAATATAATTAGAACAGAACAGAACTAGAACAGAACTAGAACAGAACTAGAACAGAACTAGAACAGAACTAGAACAGAACTAGAACAGAACTAGAACAGAACTAGAACAGAACTAGAACAGAACTAGAACAGAACTAGAACAGAACTAGAACAGAACTAGAACAGAACTAGAACAGAACTAGAACAGAACTAGAACAGAACTAGAACAGAACTAGAACAGAACTAATAGAACTAGAACAGAACTAGAACAGAACTAGAACAGAACTAGAACAGAACTAGAACAGAACTAGAACAGAACTAGAACAGAACTAGAACAGAACTAGAACAGAACTAGAACAGAACTAGAACAGAACTAGAACAGAACTAGAACAGAACTAGAACAGAACTAGAACAGAACTAGAACAGAACTAGAACAGAACTAGAACAGAACTAGAACAGAACTAGAACAGAACTAGAACAGAACTAGAACAGAACTAGAACAGAACTAGAACAGAACTAGAACAGAACTAGAACAGAACTAGAACAGAACTAGAACAGAACTAGAACAGAACTAGAACAGAACTAGAACAGAACTAGAACAGAACTAGAACAGAACTAGAACAGAACTAGAACAGAACTAGAACAGAACTAGAACAGAACTAGAACAGAACTAGAACAGAACTAGAACAGAACTAGAACAGAACTAGAACAACTAGAACAAAACTAGAACAGAACTAGAACAGATCTGAATTTTAACTCAAACCCATTGTAAATGACAAAACTCTTTCCCTTCTTTGTCTTTCTTTTCACATGAATAGGAAAAATCTTTCATTTTGAACTGATGTTAGTGGCAGTTTTCAAAACAAATAATTTTGTCTTTAATTTCCACAGACTCTTAAACTAAACGGAAGTAATATTTGGCAAAAGAGAGTAAATATATATAACACTGACAAGGAAACATTAAAACGGGACACAGACACAAAGCTTAGAAATGACAATTCAATAGAAAAAAAGGAAAACCTTACAAATCTTAAACAATTTTATAAGAATTCTTTTATGCGCATACACATACATATTTTTCTTGAATATTGAAATTTAAAGTCTCGGCAGTGAAATGAAATATTCTAAAAAATATTTCTTTTCAAATTTATTGCAACATCAATTCGGTTTGTGTGTATTTTTCTAAATTTTAGTTCATTTTATGAGTTTAACTGCAAGTAGGGTATACATATAGTTTAAACCACCAAAAAGGAAGGAAGTATTTCATTTCCGTTACGCGAGCAATTGCAACTACATTATGTACTGAACACTTGCTCATATACAAACGACAAATAAACGGATAGACAGTTAAACACACGCACATGTAAAGAGTATAGCCTCTCTCAGTTGTTTTTTTTTTTAATACAGAGACAAATAATAGATTGCATCCATCTATGGCAACAAACAAATTGCAACAACAAAATAACAAAAATCCTTTACTTTGCTAAAACTATTTAACATTCAACCATTTATCCCGTGCTTCATACTCCGCATCCTCTTCTCCCAGCCCATGACTTTCGGACTACCACATTAGTTTCCGTTAATTTCATTGCTTTTCAAGTTGGAATTAGAGGCGGGCGGTCGTTCGGTTCATTCATTCATTGCTGCAATTTTTATGTATTTTTTTTTTCTCTATTTGTAGTTGGTTAGTTTTGAGGTAGTTTTTGTATAGTATTTAAGCTTAAAATTCCAACCAAAAAAATTAAAAAAAAAAATAAATAAGCATCACGAATGCACTTCCATTTTCGGACGTGCATGTCATTCAAACATTAATCTTTAGGCTTTAATGTTAAACTCTTAAGCTTAGTAGGTCTCCATCGCTATAATGGATGCTGGTTTCTGTATAAAGTAAATGGAAGTGCATTAATTTTTAGAAGTTAATATTTTTCTATAATAAAATTGTTTATTCTGCTACTTAATCTCTGTTTTCTGTAGGTTGTGCAACTTTAGAGGGTTGGGTTAAATAAAGCATTTGATGATGGAGATGCTACAGTTAAAAAATGGCATTCCTTATTTATTCCGCTATAGCGGAATAAACTGAACTAGAACTGTAGTAAATAGTACTAACAAATTCCATCATGATCAGAAAACAACGATTTTAAAAGTTGGGTAACATGACATAAAATCCCCCATATATTTATAAATTTTCTTTTTACAATCACTCTCTTATTTTTCTAAAAAGAGAACAAATGATAAAAGAATTGATAAGGTAGTCGTTGCAACACAGGCAAATAGAATTTTTATCTTATCAGTAGATGAGCTACACTAAGCAAAAATAGATAAAGTTAAGCCAATCATTTAATTTCTGTAAAAAGAAAAAACTTTAAAAACTGTGAATGCTATTAATTTTGACTACAAAAAAACAACTAAACAATCACTAAAACAAGTATTTAAAGCACTAAAAACAAATTTAACAGAAAACAATTATTAAACTACGTACATATGTATATTGTTCAAATATTAACACATCATACTGTTAAAAAAATTCTTACTGCACTAATTTTAACAATTGTATTATTATTTGTTATCAACTTTGTTTTTATAGATAACGATTACTCACTTTTTGTTATCTCTTAAAATACAAAATTCAGTTTCAGTTTGCCTTTATAATTAAACGAGACAATACGAAAATATCGAGTAAAACCATTAAAAAATGTGATATTTTATATAAATCTAAATAAAGAAATCTTCCGGAATTTGAAATAAATTATTATTTATAAAAATAAGAAATGCATAAAGAACAATGTATTTATTTAAAGAAATAATTATATGCATCTGTTTGGTATTTACAGTTTATGGTGAAAATTCTATAAATAATTGTCCACGATTTTGTAAATGTGATTCATATCTGCAACTAAATAGAGCACAATGCAGGTATGATTACTGAGAGAAGCAAAGAAACTGTTAACAAAATTGTCTCTCTTAGGTAGAATAAAAAGAGAATGAAATGTTAAACTTTTGTGGAAGTGTATTAAGTGAAGTAAAATGAGGGAATTAAACTATGAAACTGAACTAGAACTGAACTAGAACTGAACTAGAACTGAACTAGAACTGAACTACAACTGAACTAGAACTGAACTAGAACTGAACTAGAACTGAACTAGAACTGAACTAAACTGACTAGAACTGAACTAGAACTGAACTAGAACTGAACTAGAACTGAACTAGAACTGAACTAGAACTGAACTAGAACTGAACTAGAACTGAACTAGAACTGAACTAGAACTGAACTAGAACTGAACTAGAACTGAACTAGAACTGAACTAGAACTGAACTAGAACTGAACTAGAACTGAACTAGAACTGAACTAGAACTGAACTAGAACTGAACTAGAACTGAACTAGAACTGAACTAGAACTGAACTAGAACTGAACTAGAACTGAACTAGAACTGAACTAGAACTGAACTAGAACTGAACTAGAACTGAACTAGAACTGAACTAGAACTGAACTAGAACTGAACTAGAACTGAACTAGAACTGAACTAGAACTGAACTAGAACTGAACTAGAACTGAACTAGAACTGAACTAGAACTGAACTAGAACTGAACTAGAACTGAACTAGAACTGAACTAGAACTGAACTAGAACTGAACTAGAACTGAACTAGAACTGAACTAGAACTGAACTAGAACTGACTAGAACTGAACTAGAACTGAACTAGAACTGAACTAGAACTGAACTAGAACTGAACTAGAACTGAACTAGAACTGAACTAGAACTGAACTAGAACTGAACTAGAACTGAACTAGAACTGAACTAGAACTGAACTAGAACTGAACTAGAACTGAACTAGAACTGAACTAGAAGAACTAGAACTGAACTAGAACTGAACTAGAACTGAACTAGAACTGAACTAGAACTGAACTAGAACTGAACTAGAACTGAACTAGAACTGAACTAGAACTGAACTAGAACTGAACTAGAACTGAACTAGAACTGAACTAGAACTGAACTAGAACTGAACTAGAACTGAACTAGAACTGAACTAGAACTGAACTAGAACTGAACTAGAACTGAACTAGAACTGAACTAGAACTGAACTAGAACTGAACTAGAACTAGAACTGAACTAGAACTGAACTAGAACTGAACTAGAACTGAACTAGAACTGAACTAGAACTGAACTAGACTGAATAGAACTGAACTACTGAACTAGAACTGAACTAGAAAACTAGAACTGAACTAGAATGAACTAGAACTGAACTAGAACTGAACTAGAACTAATTAAAATTTGGGAAGCGCTAAATAAACTAAAGACAAAGTTCATAGGATTATGTTATCAATTTTTCTGTTCGTTTTTTTCTTCGTCACTTCAAAAAGCTGCTATCAACATTTTCCACAAATATGTCATTCAATATACATAAGTACCAACACTTGTACTTTTTAAAATAAAAAAATTCTGAAGATTATTGTTACATTAATCTCAATTTAAAATTTTTAATTCTAATTATATTCATTACAGTTCCAAACGACTTGTAAGTGCCGAAGTTGATTTACCTTATCAGGTACAAATATTAGACTTAAGTTACAATGACATTACCACAGTGGATAAGAAATGTTTTGAGGTAAGTCTTAAATCACATAAATTAATTAATAAAATAGTTGTTATGTTGTCATTTTAGAACTTTTCCCACTTGAAATATCTCAATCTATCAAACAATGCCCTGCACACACTGGACTGGGAGTCATTCTCCAAACTAAGGCGCCTAAACGAAATAGATCTCTCTTACAATAGACTCGAATACTTGGATGAACGTCTATTTGCCCGAAATAAATATTTGTTAAAAATAAATTTGGAAGGCAACAAATTGGAGTCTTTGCAACATAAAACTCTTTTAAATAATCCATTTGTAGAAGAATTAAATTTGAAAAATTCACAATTATTTTTACTACAACCAGAACTTTTCAGTGGTTTGCCTAATCTAAGAAAATTGGATTTAAGTAAAAATTTACTTAATAATTTTAATATAGAAGATTTTGTATATTTAAAGAAATTGGAATATCTTAATCTAAATGAAAATTCCATAAAATGTGATACTGCCATCAAAAATAAATTGAGTTTATTGGAAGAAAGGGGTATAAATGTTACCCTGGATAAATGTTTCAGAGAGATAAATGGAAACTTTAAAAGAGCTACCGAAATGTTTGAGAAAATGGTAATGGCCGCTTCGCCCATCGAAGAGGAGGAGCATTTAAATAAAATTCACCAATGGCGTTCTAATATAGATTTAGAAGAAGATTCCACGGAAGAAGATGATGATGAGAATTCCAAAGAAATTCATCATCAAGTTATAAGAAAAAACAATGAATGGTTAAGATTTGCTCCAGATACTATTTTGTGTAATAAACAAAATTTTGTTTTATGTCAAGAATACCGCTCATGTTTGCAGGACTTAAATAAAGCTTGGCATGAACAACGCATTATTAAGGAACAATGTCCTCTTCATGATATCAAATTAGCTTTTTTCATGGGCATAGCCATAGGCGCATCGGCTATAGTATTCATTTTGGCCTGTGCTTTATGCATGAAAAGGTGTTTGGAAGTGAAAAATTCAGGTATTTATAGCTTTTAATTTTGCTAAAAATTTAAATATGTAATTAGCTTTTTTAATTCTAGTTCCACCTCTTGACCACATCGATGATTTACCCTCGCAACCTTTGGCTCGACCCACCTCACAACTTCCCCCTCAGGTGAGAAGACAACCACGCAGAAGAGCTGCTCCTCCCCCACGTTCAATGGTACGCTACGAAGGTCCAGTTGGAGAAAATTTCCTCTCACGTCTATTTGGTCGTCCAGCTCGTCAACAATATTATCGCACTATTAATCAAAATACAGCCACATTAATAAGACGTTTAAGTCGCAGTAATTTATTTAACAATCGTTTAAGTCAACATTTTGCGGAGAGACAAAATTCTAGTGAACCCAATAGTCCAGTTGAAGAAGATTACTCTCCATCAGCCCCTAGACCGGAAACACCACCACCTTCGTATGGAGATGTTGTGATACATAATTGTAGTGATGCTAAATGATAGTAATATGTGACTAGTATTTCTTAATGTTTAGAATTTAGACTAAAATATTCTTAATTTTATTAAATATATTTATTACACCAAAACAATATTGTAAAAAAGTTTATTCTACAAAAAGATTTACTCCCACTATCCCGAAATCGGACAAAACTAATTGATGTACTTAAGGAGTACATAAATCTTCTAAAGCTCCTTGGTATAAAATCTGTTTTTTAGTAAAAAAATAAAATTCCAAATTTTTGGAAATTTTCTTTAAAAAATCTAGTCTTTTGAGAAAAATATATATTGAAAATAGTAAAACTCTTTTTTAGCTCTTTTTAAGATTAATGCTCTTTTTAAGATTAAAGTTATTTTTGAGATTAACGCCCTATTTAAGCTTAAAGCTTTATTTAGGCTGAAAGCTTCACACATAAGCTTAAGCTATATTAAGGCTTGCCCTCTATCTAGGATTATAAATTCAGTAAAACCTAAAGCTTTTCTAACTAGAAACACTATTAAAGCTTGAAGCCCTAGTTATATTTAAGCTTAAGATAAACATAAAGTTTTTTTTTTAACTGAAGACTTTATTAAAGCTTAAAGATCTATATGGACTTAAAGCTATATTTAAGCTTCAAACTCTGTCTATTGTTTAAATCTCGGTTTGTTCTTAAACTCTATATAAGCTTGATGCTGTATTTATAACTATAGCTCTGTTTATTCTTAATGCTCTATTTACTGTAAAAGCTTTATTACGCACTATGGTCTTAGGGCCTAGATGATCAGTGTGAGTAAATAGATTTAGAACTTTAAAACGTTTTCCAATATTTCCAGCATGAAAGCTAACAATATAAAACAAAAATAAACGCACTCTTTTAACAAAGTTCAGTTCAAACACTGTAAATATATATCAAATAAAAAACAGATCAATATTTTATGCTCAAAATTAAAAAAATGTATTTTCTAATTCATTAAAACTGGACACTTGTACATCAAATTCAATTTAGCAATATCACTAGCACTCAAAGCTCGTCTCTGACCAATTTCGATATGTTCACCCTGTAAAGGTATGATGGTCTTTTCACCATTCTTCGAAAAGGCAGTAGAACTATAATGTAAAATACTGCCATAATCATATTCAATATTAAAATCAGTAACTGTTTTGTCATCGTATTTAACAAAATTGTTCAATTTGCCATACTTAATGTTTTCCTCTACAACTAAGACATAGTCATCACGATTTGTGGCACATTGTTGATGATGGAAGCCCAATGAATGTAAGATTTCATGCATAATAGTGCCTAATTTAAAGCAGCCCTTGTCCAAACGATCTACTTGTAAGTTAAGCGTTTGTACCTTGCCACGATAACCGACTTTGGTGTGGCAACCAGAGGGCTCACCAATGAAAAGCAAATGAGGTGTTTTGTCATCAGCAACGGGAATGAAACGTATGCAGCTAACGCTTTCGATATTTTTCATGGCACGTTTAATGTAGGCAACATGGTCGGCATCTGCATATTCAAATAAATATTTTTGTATTTATTTAGTTAATTAAATTTTTAATTGTACTTTAACCCACCAAAAACTTCATCTATTTTATAGTGAACTTGGCCGTTGGGCCATCTTTTCGATTCCGCTATTTCACCATTACGTGTCATTTCTATCTCCATATCACCTTGAAAAAATCCACCAATTAATTCGTGATCTTCCTCATAATCCTCTTCGTTGGTGGATTCAACAGGAGCACCAATACTTTGATGCATGAAAATGACTAATAAACCGATATAAATGAAATTTTTCATGTTGATACTTTGTCCACTAACTGAAAACTAATATTAGATTTCCAAATAATTTCTAATTTATAGCCAATAATAGAAACTAAATTTTAATCTTTTTGATTTTTTTTTCAAGAGGTGTGTATTAAAAATGACAATCTGTATTTTTAATACTTTCTAGCAAAAAATTGTGTATTGATAAATCTGATCTACAACAAAATACAACTTGTTGAAAATTAGTCAATTAAAGTTTACGATTATGTGTAATAAATTTCCTTGCAAGTACAACGCTAATAAACAGGTATGGAAACTTTAGTACTATTGTATTTTTATCAGTACTTAAAATATGCTCCCACTCCATCATACTAGATACTTTTCTAAATTGGCCAACAGACTAGTCAGTAGAATACTCAATGTACTACTCATTAGACTAGCCAATGAACAAGACAATAACAAAGTGAGTAGACTGTACTATAGACTACTCTATAGAGTAGTCAAAATACTATATATATACTAGTCTATTGAGTAGTCAACAGAATAGTCTATAGGTTAGTCAATAGAGTAGTACATAGAGTAGTCCATAGACTAGTGTATAGAGCAGTCCATAGACTAGTGTATAGAGTAGTCCGTACACTAGTCTATAGACTAGTCTATAGAGTAGTCCATAGACTAGTCTATATAGTAGTCCATAGACTAGTCAATAGAGTAGTCAATAGACAAGTCTATATAGTAGTCCATAATCCTAGATAGAGTCCATAGACTAGAGTAGTCCATAGAGTAGTTTATAGAGTAGTACATAGACTAGTGTATAGAGTAGTCCATAGACTAGTCTATAGAGTAGTTCATAGTAGTCCATAGACTAGTCTATAGAGTAGCCCATAGACTAGTCTATAAAGTAGTCCATAGACTAGTCTATATTGTAGTCCATAATCCTAGATAGAGTCCATAGACTAGAGTAGTCCATAGAGTAGTTTATAGAGTAGTACATAGACTAGTCTATAGAGTAGTCCATAGACTAGTCTATAGAGTAGTCCATAGACTAGTCTATATAGTAGCCCATAGACTAGTCTATAGAGTAGTCGATAGACTAGTCTACAGAGTAGTCCATAGACTAGTCTATAGAGTAGTCCATAGACTAGTCTATATAGTAGTCCATAGACAAGTCTATATAGTAGTCCATAATCCTAGATAGAGTCCATAGACTAGAGTAGTCCATAGAGTAGTTTATAGATTAGTACATAGACTAGTCTATAGAGTAGTCCATAGACTAGTCTATAGAGTAGTTCATAGACTAGTCTATAGAGTAGCCCATAGACTAGTCTATAGAGTAGTCGATAGACTAGTCTACAGAGTAGTCCATAGACTAGTCTATAGAGTAGTCCATAGACTAGTCTATATAGTAGTCCATAGACTAGTCTATATAGTAGTCCATAGACAAGTCGATATAGTAGTCCATAATCCTAGATAGAGTCCATAGAGTAGTTTATAGAGTAGTACATAGACTAGTCTATAGAGTAGTCCATAGACTAGTCTATAGAGTAGTCCATAGACTAGTCTATAGAGTAGCCCATAGACTAGTCTATGTAGTAGTCGATAGACTAGTCTACAGAGTAGTCCATAGACTAGTCTATAGAGTAGTCCATAGACTAGTCTATATAGTAGTCCATAGACAAGTCTATATAGTAGTTCATAATCCTAGATAGAGTCCATAGACTAGAGTAGTCCATACATAGACTAGTCTATAGAGTAGTCCATATACTAGTCTATAGAGTAGTCGATAGACTAGTCTACAGAATAGTCGATAGACTAGTCTACAGAGTAGTCCATAGAGTAGTCTATAAAGTAGTCCATAGAGTAGTCTATAGAGTAGTCCATAGACTAGTCTATAGTATAATTCATAGACTAGTCTCTAGAGGAGTCCATAGAGTAGTCTATAGAGTAGTCCATAGACTAGTGTATAGAGTAGTCTATATACTAGTGAATATAGTAGTCCATAGACTAGTGTATAGAGTAGTCGATACAGTAGTCTATATAGTAGTACATTGACTAGTCTAATCTATGGACTACTATAGACTAGTCTATAGAGTAGTCGATACAGTAGTCTATATAGTAGTCTATAGACTAGTCTATAGAGTAGTCCATAGAGTAGTCTATAGAGCAGTGCATAGACTGGTCTACATAGTAGTCCATAGACTAGTCTATAGGGTAGTCCATAGAGTAGTCTATATAGTAGTAAATAGACTAGTCTATAAAGTAGTCCATAAACTAGAGTATAGAGTACTCCATAGACTACTCTATATAGTAGCCCATAGACTAGTCTATATAGTAGTCCTTAGACTAGTCTATAAAGTAGTCCATAGACTAGTCTATAGAGTATTCCATAGACTAGTATATAGAATAGTCCATAGACTAGTCTATAGAGTCTTTAAAGTAGTCAATATACTAGAATAGAAAGTAGTCAATAGACTACTCTATTTTACTCATTCCAAAAAAGGTTTTTATTCTTTCAGTTTTCCATGCCTGAAGTGAAATTAGACAAAAAAAAGTAGTAATACGGTTTTTACCATAATAGTATCTTATCAAACTTGCGTTTTTTTCACCGAAAATCAAGACATACTATATACGAGGGTGGGGTGAAAACATAAACTTTTATTTCTTAACAATTGTACATTTTATTTAATTTCAAGACATCACTATCGCTTAACTCTAAACGTTGACCCATCACTGCATCAGTGCTTTTCAGAGCCACTAACGTTTTTTCGCCATTTTTCGAAAACGAAGTTGAACTATAATGCATTACACTGCCATAATCATATTCCACACCAAAATTCGAAACAGTATTCGAATCATATTTAACAAAATTACTCTCCATGCCAGTTTTAATATTATCCCACATAACCTTAACATAATTATCACGTTCTGTGGAACTGTGCTGATGATAGAAACCCAAAGCATGCAGCAGTTCATGCATAATACTGCCAATTCTAAAACAACCCTTATCCAGATCATAAACTTCTAGATTGACATTTTGCTCAGTACCGCTGTAACCAACTTTGGCAGAGCAGCCAGTAGGTTCACCTTTAATTCTGATAAAGGCCTTTGTGGTATCTATGGCATGACGGAAACGTATACAGCTTTTGGATTCAATAATTTGCATGCCTTTTAGTATATGAAGAGAGTGTTCAATATCTATGGGGTAAAATATTAGGATATAAAATATTCTAGTAACAACAAATCCTTATAAAATTTCATACCAAACACTGGATCGATTCTATAGCGCACAATACCATTAGGCCATCTTTTGGTGGTATCCAATAAACCATTACGTGAGTTTCCTAAATCCATATCACCTTCAAACAAACCCGCTTTTAATTCAGGATCATCTTCTACTCTTTCCGTTTCAACTGGTACTGCCTGACAGTGGGCCAGTAATAAACCCCATACAATTAGTATAATACATTTTTTCATTTTGAGTGTTTAAAGAACTTTTGAAAAGTAATAAAATTTCTTTTGCAAATGTTCTAATTTATACCAAAAAATCTTAAAGCAAAAAGCAAGTCAATGAACCTTTTTAAATTTTTTTCTTTATTTGCTGTTCCATAAACTTTAGTATAATGGCAAACAAATGGCTTAAATTAAGGTAATTAAAAAGTATTTTGCTTAAAGTTTTGTTATGCGCAAAACAAAAGAAATCATAAATTAAGAAAAAAAAAGTAAAAGTAAATGCAATAGATTTTTATATCGTGATAACTTATCAAACGTTTTTTTCATAAAATTACTTTATATGGAATTTGCATTAAAATTTAAACAAAAGTTAAAAGCAACAAAAGTATAAAAATATCTTAATTAAGGCATAACTGCACCTAATTAAACCACCAGCAAGATTTTGGATAACGGCTTGTTATCTAGTAATTATTTAATGGAAAATTGGATATTGCTAAATACATTGTCCTAGGCACACGATTTACGTTGTTTGGTTTGGGCTCGTATTTTAGTTAATTTTACAACGCACAATGGGAAGGGTCCAAAAAAGGTTGCTTCGACTAGACTGACAATTTCGCTGAGTAATGAGTGCTGTACAGTGAAATTTGGTAAGAGTTGAATCTTATAAACCCAGCTAATGGGTCAAAAGTCCTCAAAGTAAATTATTTGTATTATGTGAAGAATTAAAGCGATTCCAATTTTTGATAATATTATTTAAAACATTTTCCTTTACAGGAAATCTACTCCAATACTTCGCAAAACCTTGTCCTAGCAATGTAGATATTATCATTTGAAAACATATTTTCACGTTTATCATCCAATATTTTTATGGATTTTTTTATGAATTAACAATACAACTATTGAACTAGTTAAATAATATACCCTTCACCATAGTGTGTTTAAACTAAGTTAATTTTATAATATTCCAATTTATTATATATTTTTAAACTCTAGCAATAACAAATATAA